CTTTGTTGTTGTTTTCCTCCGTCTTGCTTTGGCATTCCTTGTTTACAGTCTCTGCAGAGTGCCTGCGTCAGTTCAGCGCAGGCTGAGCCAGCATTGTGATTCGCAGGGATGCTGTAGCACTGCAGTGGAAAGGATGTGAAACTTTACTGCAGTCCTACAGTCAAGCCCTTTCTCAGGTCGTTGGCCTCTTAGCGCTGCACCAAAATCTATCTTTATGTCACATTTAGCAGGATGTGTAACTTTCCAATGTCATTTAAAAAAAGACTGAGCACATGCATCACTGCTGGCCATCCGCAGGGTCAGACAATCACTCTAAATAGAAGCTACATAAAATGAGCTGACAGGTGTGGCATTTATTTTCTTGAACATTTATGCATTTTTGGAAAAGGTTGGATGAATTTTTTGTGATTTCAGTTTTATTTTCCTAAAATCGGAAATCTACCATATACTGGAGAAGAAGCTTAAGGTTACGTGTTCTTTATGTTTCCATTCACCTTTTTTGCTAATAGAAAACTACAGTTAAAAAAAAAAATCAGTATACAGTATATTTTTTATTTCATCTTTATTTTGACCAGTGTTCCCATTAAGATCCCAGATCTCAACATCACATTTATTACACCCTATTTTACTATTTTGTTCTTTATTTGCCTACTGCAATGCTGTTCATACACTGCAAGTTGCTATTCTATTTTATATTATACCTTTTTATAATACAAAGGCACAATATTATTATTTTTATAGATATTACTACATATTACATTCCTTTCTGTATTCTAAACTCTGCAATTAATATGTGTCTATATGTGTGTTTTAATTTGCCCTGGGCATGCATGTCCACTTAAAGGCTATTAATCCTTGAGATAAGATTCCTAAAATAGATCTGATCGCATTAGGACTATTTGCCAAATTAATCTTAGCTTAGTTAAAGTGAATACAGACAAAACAAAGAAAAGCACACAAAGATGAACCTGTTTATAGAAAAAGGCCTAAATGCACTAGGGAAGGCATTTTGGGAATAAGATTGATGCAATATTTGCCGATATCATAAAATCTGTCACTGTTGATCAAATTCAATTAGCAGGTCTGCAATTAGTATGAGCTGATCTTGTTATAACAATCTAAAACAATTATTAACATCTATATCAAGATAAAAAGAGATAAACTGTAGATCACATGTTCACATTCTGACACTGGGTGGATGTAGCTTATCCCAAAGATGAAAATGTGAATCGATATTTCTCCGTATTGCTGTAATTGAATTATTAAACATTTTATCAGTATATTAGTCACATATTGATTATTGTATTTACTTAGGATCGTATTTACACCTCTATTTATAGATAAATAGCCATTAATGTTTCTTTTTCACGAAGTGCTCATTTATTTTACTGCTGAAATATAAAACATAGAATTCAAATAGTTCTTCTACAGTATGGTTTATTTTAATATAAAATATTTTTTTTAAGTTAAATGCCTATTATGACTGCTTCCTCAATCACATCTCTGATCTAAGTTGAAGTCATTTAATGGAGAAATCTCCAGTTAAGGAGAAAATATGCAACTTAAGAAAAGCAAAGTTTATATTCCTCATGTCAGGGGAGCATTAGAGTCCTGGACTAGATTTTTTTATCTGTTTAGAGAATAAGGTCTAGTTAAACTGTACAGGTCGACCTTGTTTGGTCTGAATCGGCTACCTGGCTGTTTACATGACGTCTCTGCAATGAAGGCTTTATAAGCATGGATGTATTCCTGCACACTCAGGAGCGCAACATTTTAATCTTTTAAAGCTACAATAAATCTGCAGTTGTGGTGAAAACATGGTGGGCATGAATTACTGAAGTCTTGCACACTTTAGGAAATCCCCCTTCATCCTTTCTTTCCTCCCTACATGCTTCAGTTTTCTCACCCCTTGTGTTTTCCTATTGTCCTTTTCCACTTTTGTCTTAAATTTGCCTCATCTCCATCATCACTTCTCCTGCATCCATGCACGCCCTCCATCCCTTCAGCTTGCTGTGTTCCCTCCTCCTTCCTGTCCAGCGGTGGTTCAATGATGCAGTGATTCATAGCTGCAGTAGGCGCTGCCTTACTGTCATGTGACTAGAGCCTGCCTGACAACATGGATTTGGGGGGGGGGGCGTGCAGTCAGATGCACGTGCTCATCAGCACCCACCCAACCCCCCCCCTCCGTGCTGCCTTCCAAACCTTCCGAATGCATAGAAACGCCTCAGAGTACGCTCGTTTCCTCTCATCTTTTAAAAAATTCTCTATCAGCTGCAGAGGCGCTCTGCTTCCCAACCCGCCGTCATGCAGCCATATTGTTACGTCTGATATTAAAACCTCATATCTCAGCAGTTTAAAGATGATCCTTTCCACCCGCTTTATGCATTATTTATTACCCTGCTTTTATCTCCCTCTCTCCTCAAGCCAGTGTTTATTGTTATTACATCACCGACTCATGCTTTGTGAGTTCATTCACTTGTGCCATGTGAGAGTCAAAAGCTCCCCTCATTTACATTGCCTTCCATTCATGCCTTTCAACATTGCATCTCCTAGTTTAACAAAGAATAGTCAATACATTTAATATTAAAAAAGTTTTGAAAAATAAGAGTCTTAGCAGTGCTGTGTTCATGTGTCGATATGTTATAAAGCCATTATTTACTGGGAGTAAAGCTCCAGGTGTCTAATTTTTCTTTTTTTTTTTTTTTATAACTAACCCCATTTAGACCTGACAAGAAGCATCTCTGAACAGTAATTATTCTGGACTTTGAAAAACATTGGTGTCCTGTAAACATTTCCATTTGATCTCTGGCTCAGGGTTTCTGTTCTACTGGAAGATCAACCTCTCACTAAGGCTCAAGTAATTTTTAGTTTCTAATTCATTTTTCCCCCAGCTTTCCTTTGTTTTCTCTGTTCCATCCAACTTCTGATCAACCCTGACAAGCTGCTCTGTCCCTCCTGGAAATAATGTGTCCTCAAAGCATGGTGCCATTTCTTTCCCATTGAAGATGGCATTTCTAAAGTGATGCGCTGTGTCAGTTTTCTGATACACATAGTTTTGCACACGAGCTGCCTCTAAGCAGGAACACTTAGTTTACGTGCTTGCTGTGTTGGCTTATAAATCTAGATCTTGGGACGAGACTTCTAGTGTCTTTCTTTCTATGGTGATTATCGTATCAACACTTCTGGAGCACACACTGCACTGACCACATTATGATTTGTTTTCATCCATTTCACAATCATATGCTTATTTGTGTTAGTTTATCTCAGATGGTGGATAGCAAATATATTTATAACCCTTGAACTTTTCCGCATTTTATCACATTATGATCACAAACATTGATATATTTTATCAGAGTTTTAGTTTTATGTGAAAGTCTAAGTAGTATACAGTTGTGAAGTTCTTTCAAATACAAAAATGAAAAGGGGCATTCAGCCACCTTTTGTCGCTTCTTTGTTGAACCAACTTTAAGGATATACCTCTAGATGCTCTGAAAATCTAATGAATAATTTTTTTTGCATATTCTTTGGAAAACATCTTAATCTCAATTAGATTAGATGAAGCCTTTTTGAACATTAGCACAGGTTCTCGATTTGGTTTAGGTCGGTACTATGACTTGGCCATTCTAATACAGTTACATGTTTTGTTTAGAGCTCATTCCAGTTCAGCACTAGCTTTATATTTAGGGTTGTCGTCCTGCTGGAACGTGAACCTAATCTTAAGTGTTTTGTAGACTCATCTCCAAAATTGTCCTGTATTTGAATCAGACCATTTTCCCTGTCCCTGCTGGAGAGAAATACACCCCGAGCATGATGCTGCCACCACTATATCTGAAAGTGGGAATGATGTGTTTAGAAAAAATTGCAGTGGTAGGTCTCTACCACACATAACGTTTTACATTTTGGCCAAAATGTTTAATTTTGGTCCTGTCTGATCAAAGCATCTTCTTGCTCATGTTTGCTGTGTCAATGGTTTCTGACAAACTGCAAACAGGATTTCTGATGACTTGTTTTTAACAATGTTTTTCTTCTTTCCACACTTTAATAAATATCACATTTTTAACTGTTATCCTGTGGATAGATTCCCCCACCTGAGCGCTGGATCTGTGAAGTTTGTCCAGTGCCACCATGGGCCTCTTAGCTGGATGTTTGATCAATGCTCTCCTTGTTTAGCCTATAAGTGTAGGTGGACAGCCTTGGTAGGGTCACAGTTGTGCCATTCTTTTTCTATGTCCGAATGATGGATTGAACAGAGCTGTGTGAGATGCTCAAAGCTTGGGAAATCATTTCATGTCAGAGCCTAAATCTGCCTTAAAGGAATAGTACACCCAAAACATGATTAGCCTTCATTTTCTACTCACCCCCATGCTGAACAACACTCTGGAGTACTTTTTTTAAAAAACTTTTCCACAACCTTATCCCTGACCTGTCCAATGTGTTTCTTGGACTTCGTCATGCTAATTGCTCCCCAGCATTCTCCTCGCCAACCTCAAGCTGTCACAGATCAGCTGATCATCAGATCATCAGATTAGCAATCATCAACTTCTGAGGGAAACTGGTTGCAGTTTTATTTCAGTTTATTATTTGTAAAAAAAAAAATAAAAAAAAAATTTAATTATAATTTAATTTTCTTTCTACCTTAAAATTCTATACTATTTTATGGTGGTCTTCTAAAAATAAAATATATATGTGACCCAATGTGGAAAACTACAAAAGGTGTGAGTTGCAGGCCATTGCAACTGTGATAAACATGATTAAAGTGTGTTGTTTTAGCATGACAAAATGATATTTTTAATTGCCTTTAATCATCTGTTATCATCAGGGGGTATTCCTTTCATGGTTCAGAGGAATGACATAAGATAAGTTCCATCTACCCATAAGTTCCTCAGAAGTTCAGAGTTGCTGTCATATTTGCAGGCTCTAACTTCCTCGTTTGACATTGTCATATTTTCCACTCCATTAATAAGTAATCAACCTCTCTGTGTTGTTAATTCTCCCTGCAGGTGGAGCTGGGCAGAAAGCAGGAAGTGGTGGTTTACGACCAAAGTTCCAAAGAGGCAGGGCACCTGTCCAAAGACGGTTTTGTGCACATCCTCATGGGAAAGTTGGAGGGTACCTTCCATAAAGTCTCCCTGCTCACCGGTAAACACGACCATCTGAGTTATCACTGCTTGTGAATGTTGTGTGCTAAGCCAGTGGCATGATGGGGAAGTGAGTGAAAGAAACAAAGTGTTTAATATTTAGAGAAATGTCTTTTTTTGCCGCACACATCTCATGAACAGGTGCATTATTGCTGTTGCTCGGTTTAGCCAGCAGATGTCACTGACTGACACAGCAGAGTTTTTCCTTTTTTTTATATCAGTAGTTCCTAATTTCTTATAGCTGCATCAGAAGGATGAGATACAACAGTATGACGTGATGCAAAGCCTGTCTGATGGTCTTTGATGTTTAAGCTTCTCTGGAGGCGTCTACTTATGAAGCATTAATGCAGGAATGTGAACGATGATTTCCAATCCTTTGGTCTGACTAATTTCAGTTCCTTTATTGTCATAGTATCCACTAATTTACTACTGGACTACTGGACCTGCATTAATTATTCCTAATATGCTTTCTTATTTAACTTGATCTTTTTTGTGTTGGCTGCAGACATTGAAGAAGCAGCTAACAGCCAAATTCAGAATCAGAGGCTTATGAATTTGTTCCAAATGTGTCAATGCAGAAAGGAGAGTCTAATCTGCTTCTGCCAAGAGGATTTAAAAGAGACGGGCAGAAGCATACTGCTTTTGGTAAATACTGTATATGCTCTCATTTCCACATCTTCATTCTTTTCCTCTTCTCAGTTTGCTCCTTCTGCTGGGAGATTAGGGCTTTTTCATGAGTCATTCATAATTGCTAAGGATTGCCTCAAAGAACCTCAGGCTCCCAAATTATTCACTGTCACAGAGATGCACAGAGTGCCTGCTCTGTGTGTGAAAAGAAGGTGGGTTGTACACCCCTGTATGATGGTTTTGTCGCATATTACTTCAAGTTCTGTCAGAATTTCCCTCATCCTCCTCATTATCTCCACTGCTTGCTTATTTTATCGTCAGGAAGGGGAGAAAAAAAAAAAGAGTCACACCTTTTCCATTTCTGCCACTGCTTCTCTGCTGTTTCCACGACAACAAAGGCAGAAATAGTCCCCAGAAAGAAAGCCAGCCAATGGCGTGGGCTCCTGTTTGGGTGCTTGTGTTATTGGGGTCAGTGGAGATAGCAGCCAGAGTCTGCGTCTAGGTTTGCATGCAAGTGCATTGAGGGAGAAAACGGTCCGATTGTTGCATGCAGACGTGCTTTGTAACGTCACATGAGAAAAGTGCTGCAGTAACAGCTATGTGTCAGGATACTGCAGGGTTTTTTTTTTTTTTTGTGAAGGGATGAGGGTGCAAAAAACTAAGACAATGTAATGGAATTTCTTAGAAAACTTATGATTAAGACTTTTTATTGCCTGGCTATTTAAACCAAAACTTTTACATATTTTGACTTTTTAATATTATAAAAAAAAAAAAACCTTAATCTATTTTAATTTTCAGTTGACTGACTTGTGTAAAGCGGTCTATATTATCATCTAGTTGCTTATGCTTGTATAAGGATATTAACACCTTTAACATGCCTCATTTGTGCAGTTGAGCAGTCCAGCTATGTTGAACACCTGCTTCTCTTTAATGTCTTTGCTTTACTTTTGCTTGCCTTATCTGTAGCAGAGCACGATATCAATAACTGACAACAACCAGAAAGTCTGACACTAGTTAGAAGCAATGAAATCATACATACTGAAAAAAACAGATTCGGGGCCTCTATTGGATATGTTAAAGCATTTTTAGTTTAATGTTATGATTTCATGTAGGGCTGCAACTAACTAACATTTTGCAAAGAAAGCCAAAAATTTTACAAAGATTTTACAAAAATTAACCAGGTGAAACTTGAGGAGTTCTGATAAGGCATACTGACATAAATTTTTTTAAATCTTAGATGCAAAATGTTTATATATATATGTGTGTATATATATATATGTATATATATATATGTATATATATATATATATATATATATATATATATATA